CAATAGCGAAGTTGAAGAGGAAAGGTGACAATGGGCATCCATGTCTCACACCGCTGGAGATATTAAAGGGCGAAGACAGCATGCCGTAAGCCCTCACTCTGCCCGTGCTACGCGCGTTTAATGCTTGGATAATATTCACATATTTCTCGTTCACACCTTTCCTGAGTTAACAATTCCAGAGGGCACATCGATCAACCGAATCGAAGGCACCTTTGATGTCGAGGAACACGACTATTGTGGGCTACCAATATGTGTGGCCGTGCTCCAACAACTGACTCAAGGTGTAGATGTGGTCGATGCAGCCACAACCACGACGAAACCCGGCTTGCTCCTTACGAATCTGGCTTTCACGATCGCCAGTCATTCTGTGAAGAATTATGGAGGCTAGTAATTTGGAGGCGATGGAGTTCAGACTGATTCCTGTGTGGTTGCCGCATTTCGAGCGCAAACCGCCTTTGAAGATGGGAACAATAATGAAGCAGCTACACTCCGTTGGGACAGTGTCCTGCTCCCACAGTTTCACTAGTAATTCATGTATAGCATCAATAAGAGCAGAGCCGCCGAATCTGAAGAGTGCTGGAGAAAGATCATCTGATCCTGCGGAATCGTTCAACTTCAACAGTCCGATCTCACGTTCGACTTCTGAGCGAGAGGATGGATCCAAAGAGACAGCCGACGGAGCAGGGCGATCACTCGCCGGCGAAGAATCGGACAATTCTAGCCGATTAAATTGCTTTTCAAATTGCTCAGCCCAACGCTACAAACGTTTTGACAAATTGTGAATAGGCTGTTCACTCTCATCACAAATTGTTTCACTAACACCAGGCCTCCTGCTGCCCGTTTCCCGTATCAGACGGAATAACTTACGATGGTTGCCAAGAGAAGCGTACACTTCCATCTCTGATGTACGATGAGACCACCAAGATTCCACGTCTCCCTTCAGGCTAGCCTGGAGTTTTGCCCGGAGTTCTTTGAGAGTTTTATTGTGCTCGCTTCCAGCCGGGATATTCCGTCGAGCGTCGAAAGTTCCAGAGACCGAGAAGAGACCTAATGTCCATGTTGGCTTTTAGACATACCACATGAGGATTTGCTCGCTGCTAGTAAGGGCTGCTGAACATGTGACCAGTGACCATCAATTGTCTCCAGTGAACGATTGCTCAACTCGCATGTCAGCGTACTTCGATACGCATTCAGAACAGCTGGCTTTGTCAGTTGGCCGGTGTCAATGCGCTCACAGCGTCGTCGTGGGCGTCCGCCAAAGCGCATCCGCACGTCAGCACCTACAAGTGCATGATCGGCGTCCACACATGTGCTCCAAATCTAGCGACAATTCCGGATGCAACCTCTCCAGCGGTAACCAATAGCAATGTGATCGATCTGCGTCCAAGGCTGCTTCGAGACTGGTAGGCACCAAGTCACCCTCCGGCGGGTGCTGTGTCGGAAATTAGTGCTCGCAAGAAATAAGCGAGCATCTTCACACAAATGAAGTAACCGCTCACCGTTATCATTACGGGAGCCTACACCGTGCTGACCGCCCAGATGCATTTCATCAGTGGACAACTTTCCAACTTGTGCCTTCATATCCTGCGTCAGCACAACAGTGTCCGTGCTTCTTCTGTGGCGAAGGAGTTGAGTCAGTTGGCGGTAGAAGTCGTTCTTTACCGAATCATCGCTACAGTTTGTGGGCGCGTAGGCAGCGATGATGAATAAACGCTTATTAGTCCCGCGCGACTTCGAAGCTTTAAACGGGCCAGCCAATCGGACATCAGGCTACTGATTTGAATCCAGTCAACCAGAGCAGCTTCAGCCCGGGTACTCAGGGCAATGCCAACACCAGCTTGGCAGGTGCGCGAAGCTGCATCGTCACCGGATAGGCGCAATGAGAAAATACTGCTTGCGTCACCTAAAGTGGTTCGCAGAGTGAGCAATGAGCTCCAGTCTTGCAGGCGGGTTTCCGATAAGCAGCAGAGATCGATTGAGAGGGTTTCCAATGTTCGGATAAGTGCTGCCTGTTGACCGATCTGTAGTAATGTGCGTAAATTAAGGCATGCCAATCTGAAGGCGGACCGAGGGCTCCAAATGGAAGCTGATGAACTGGAATGGACCGCTTGGTTGGACATTGACTTGTCGACAGGAGAGGAGTGATGCTTCGCCTTCACAAGTGAGTTGCAATTAGAAGATAAATGCCTAGCAAAGCATGTTGGGGGAGAGTCAAGAATCGGGGGGCTGTAAACTGAGAGGATATAAGTGAAGTTGGAAGGGGACGGTAAGAGTGAAAAAGCCTAAGATGGGGAATAAGAAGACGGGAAGGCTTGAGCAGTAGCATCCAAACCCCTATCCATCCTGCTCGATGCAGCAGATAGGGCACCGTTGATTATCCTCTGCGGTGGCCAGAGCATCAGCAATTTGTTTGAGATAATATTCGTGGTATTGCGTAGGCAGGATACTGTCAGGTTGCCCAGGCCTAGACAGGAGAACGATTAGGGTTCTCAACCAAAGCCTTTGGTTCAAAAACCTGACCACAAGGCAGCGGGTTTGGCGTTGGGCTACAAGGAGTCCGTTTTAAGGAATAAGGAGCCACCTCATTCCAACTCCCAACCTGTAGGACCAGGAGGCTGAGCTTGTCTGGCTTCTAACCATTGACCAATCTGGTATGGGTGACCCTGAAGGTGCAAAAGCACCACCCAGCATAGCTCAATGGATCGCTGAGGCACACAAACCATCGCACTACGGTAAGGTCCAGCCTCATTGCGATGGCAGTTTGGACCAATCCATCTTCCCCATGATAAGCAACTCTTATGTGCGCCCTCACGCTGCAATTTCCATCCAAGCTTTGAAGCCTTCGCAGAAGCGTGACTTATAGCTGCATGTGAAACCAAAAGGCAGAACCACGAAAGCATCAATGTCTACGAAATCTTTCCTAAAATCCAAGGCTAAAGTCACTGGAAGTTTGTAGTGGCCGCTGCTAAAAGCTGTGCGGTAATCTCATATTAGGCTTCCACATATTGAGTGAGCTTAATCACGTATGCCGTCATTTGTTGAGACAACCTTAACACCAATCTCAGAGGTAACCCTCCGAAATCGAGTGAGTAGTACAGTCGCTGAAAATGCCTGCGGAATTAATTTTCCCTTACCGTTTGCCAAATCTGAAACTCGACTCCAAACTTTATTCTTTCCTACCCCACTCTCAATAGTAAAAATATTGTTGGATCTTTCTATTGGCCCTCAACCTTTTGTTGCCTAACTTGTGTTAATTTAAAATATCATACTTATCGCTTCAAACCTGAATGACTTGTCACAGAAATCTGAGGAGCCGGAACAGAACTAAGTATACTTGTTCTTATTTTTCACCCGGAGTACATCAAATATTACTGTACCCATGTTGCCTCGTCGTTCGCAGTAACTTCCCACTTATACCAATATTTTTCAGTGGTGTATCTGACAAACACACAGACAACTCACATTTATTTTCCTATTATAAATTTAGCCTCACAATTCAGCGGTACTTGTCAAGCAACTGTTTTATTACACGACATAAATAATAGTTCATTGTTCCTTGTTATGAGCAACAAGTACTTGCAATCTGTCCAAACAGTGGATCTAGTTTTTAAGGTTATTACTCCTACAATAACAAAACAAGGTCCTGAAGATATACTGTCAAGAATAAAAGGTTTAAAATCCAGGGTTAATATGGAATGTTTTGCGTTTTACCTCATTAAAGCATTGGAATAAATAGCGTAAGGAAAATTAACTGAAATATGATGTTTAACAGCAGCGTCAAAGTAACGGTTCTCGAGGTTTCGTTCTTCTTGTGGAAAATATTAGGCAGCAAGCAATTTATGTACCATAGTGCAACATTTATGTTTAACTAAATGGGTTCGGAATTGAGAATTAGTTAACCAAGGCTCATAAAGTAAAATCAGTACGAGCGGACGCAAGCTTTCACCAATTCACTTTACAAATCCTTAGGGAATGTCAAATTAGATGGAAGCAGCCACTTGTAGTTTGCAGTTACTTATTATTCACAATCAATGTCCTTTATGTCATGTATGTGATTATACCCAATTCAATATACTGAACGATTCCGTTCCATTGGGCCAAAACAATATTAGCATTTGAGAGCTTCCTTGCGGTAAACACAGTTCCGACTTTACCAGTCGGAAGGCGATGGCATCAACGCAACTATGTAGATGCCCACAGACGCCTTTAGCTGGCTATATCAATGAATTTCAGACGGGCTTGAATGACTCTACCGCCGTGATGGCATGCTTGTGTCTACTACAATTTGGTCATGGTCAAATTGATTGTTCAGTTTTCGATTGTCGATCGTTAAACGGGAAACCAACTGTCAGTGGATGAACTTGAACCGTTGGGTTTAACGTTACATTGCTCATCCTTCCAATTAAAGCTATTATTATTTAACAACAGCTTATCAGTGCATATTCAACTAGCAACACAACAAGCAGTTGCAACAAAAGGATACAGCTTGCGTTTCTTATAGTTTTGTTGTTTAACCATCTAGCCATTATTACAAACACGAGTAACCTAAACTGCAGCATCTTCAGTATCAGCGTTTCGCATATTCACATTCTCAGTTCATTTTATTGTTGCATCAAACAGCAGTCCGTTTTGTTAAGGAGATACAATCATCTGACTTTTCAAGATAATTGCCCAGGCACACATGTGTGTTCTGACGCGGTTCCCGAAGCAGCTGTTTACACGCGCGAACTGAAGTTGCTGCTTGTCATCAATATCGTTGCACCAGGCGCGTCGTAGGTGTGCGTAGCGACTGGACAAGGCGACTGAACCGGTCTTTATTTCACGTGTGCATCCAACGCAATCTTTTGGTACTGCCCATCGCAGCACAATTTGTGCCGAGCTACGGCACTAGCTGTGGGAAGTTTGACAAGTGATCAATGCTTTTTTCATATGCTAGCGGTCTGTCCACAATATTTCTGTTTTTCCGTCTAACGGTCTGTCAGTCAGTCTTCCGTACAACCCTCCGTTCGTCCAACCAGTAAAGTTGGTCGGACATCGATGCACGCACATTTGTGACGGCGCAGTGTTAATAAGGCACTCCATTACACTTTTAATTACGACCACAGTAGCATAATAACGTGAACATGGAATATAGGAACGGTCGTAAATTGAGTACTTAAACAGATATATTCTTGTGGCTCACGGCATAAATACGCACACAGAAGCCCTGATCAAACATGTTGCCAAATATGCTGTCAGTAACAACAGCAATTAACCCAAGGTACTGCTAAGCTGTGTTCGGCGAACAGCTATCCCAAAATAATCCACACACTTTAAACTTCTACGTATCTTGTATTTGCTGGTGCGTTTCCTTTTCATTGCTGGCTGAGTCGTCGGATTCAACATGGCCGGAGACACTGAGGCGACATTCATACTCTCGTTGGACGATGACGAGGATGAAGCGAATGTCGTACAGACGAAGGAGAACACATTCGAAGTCTCTATAACACTACCTGAAGAAAGTACGGATGACAAGGCTAGTTCAATGGACTTAACACAACAGCTACGTTGGTGTGAGTTATTGCGAATTTTACGTTTATTTGGCAGTTACAAATAGTAAGGACCTTTATATGCCATTTCTTAATTTTCTGAAATTCGCTCATCCTATTTTTAAACATTTCCAAAAAATGCTAGAGCGAACTATGGCGGAGTGCTTCCTTATAGGAGCTTGTACATGGTAGCGATGAGGCATAAAATCGTGACTATTGACACCCGAGTTAAGTTCACGGTTTAACCTGTTCCAGTTTAAGCCGGAGAGGGAAAATCACTTCCGAATGCTTACTAGGAAAAGTTATAAAAAGCAACTCACTGCCATATAAAACTAAGCTGTCTGTAAACGTTAAATTTAACTGAGCAGAAAGGTTTATATAATATGCGATTGAAATCGGGTTTGTTTAAACAGGTTTACCGCCAGGTTTGTTGGCTGAATTTAATAAGACTTCTGAACAAATGTTAAATTCATAAATAATTGTAGGGATAACATGCAAATAAATGAAGTTTACAATGTCTGAAAGTATTCGCACATAAAGAAATACCGCAAATGCACGCAAATGCACGCAAATATCACGCCACCTCTACTAGGAATGCAACGAACATGCACACAAGTTCTCAATAATACAACTTCATAGTTAAACAGAAAAATCGAATTAAAAGTGCGCACAGACATTTCAAAAGTCGGTACTATTCAATTGAGTAAATCGGGTACTGAGAACAGTGTATGCGAAACCACATCGACCAAATGCGTACGATCTCTTGAGTCACAGTTCACCAGCCCTTGGAGCCAAGGTACTCCCAATACTTTAGCAAACTTGCTCTGAACACATAGCTGCGGTACAAATAGCCCGAGCACAATTGCCTCTGCGGTTTCTATTTCAGCTTGCGGGCCCAGTTAAATAAGTTCGTCGGAGCCTAAAATATGCTTTTAAAATACCGATTTGTGGAATGCCCTATGCCGGCTAGATGCGTGGCAATTGAAGAGATGACTGTTGACCTGTTTTCCATTTGGAACCCACTCTAGTGGGCTTATTTTACTCTTTCAGATAGGCGGGTTGTCGTACTACCAATTTATTCCGCACCACAGGAGCATGAAAATGAGCAAATACACTTTGGCTTAGTATAATCAGTCCTCTTATCATTTGATTTTATTCGCCGTTGCGGAGTGCTGTTGGACTGAATTTGCATCTGTGCTGCTGTACAGGTGCACCTGGGTGCAGACAAAATAGAGCGCAAGAGAATCTCCGTCGAAACCCGGCTATTGTATGATAGCTGTAGGATGACGGGTTTCCGTTCTAATCATTACTACAGGCTGTTTCTCCTTAAGCGCAATATTGGCTCTGATAGTGCTCTCTAGATAGCCACACTTCCTTAGCAGACAGCGAACAAAGATAATTAATTTTACAGCATGTCATTCGAGCACATGCGTTCAGCTAGATGCAATAGGATATGCATCAAGTTTCGTTTAAACCTAAGTGGAACAAACCTGCAGAATTTTCTATACTGTTCTTTCCACATATCTTTCCTATACTCATAACGTTTAGGCGCACCCTATTCAATTCTTTCCATACCGAGTTCAAGTAAATAATTCGGCTTGTTCCATAAACTTTATAGGTGGGTGTTCATGTTGGACGCGTTTGACTGAAATACGTTTACAGAGGGGTACTAGTGAGAGTCGAATGGTATAAGTGGTAATAGGTTTGTTAGTTGCTCGATTCTTCTAGAGGATTCAAGCAAAACATATATGTCTTCGGTTAGCTGCAATACAAACTGGGCCATTTGATCGTTTACTTTACTCTTCGCTGTTCCGGAATACTCATGAATGATTGGGTGTACCCTGGCAATAACGGCCGGTGAAGTCTGACGCACGAGATCACACGCGTTTGGTCGTTGTGAGTTAGCGGACAACGTTCTCAGCACCCGCTTATATAGTTTTCTGCAGCCTTTGGATATCTGCATATACTATTATGCATAAATTCGTGTATGTTTGTATATCGTTTATCAAGTCAACTCTTCGAAATATGGCAAACATTTGCCAAGCTAAATAAGATTTAATCGGATTCTTTCAATATTCTCCATACCTGTTTTTTTCTTTTTAATACAAACGTTAGCTTCTTGCTCCTGGTTTCTCATTCCTTTTTAAAGTTTTATCTCTTTTTATCCTATTTTGGAGTATTGATAACTTTTAGGACCTCAACAGACCCGTTCGCTAGTTGAACTGTGTTATATTCCATACTGCTTCGATTTCTTTTCCTATCGACATTCAGGTTTTGAATAAAATTCATTAGTTTTAAATAAGGAATATAGTTACAATGCCTAACCATTCGGGAATGTTTACCAACCCGGCGCATTAAAGATTACGTTTTTATTGTCATGGCTTTATTTGGCAGCATCAAACCGTGTTGCCATTAAAGAAGAAGCTGTTTTTCGAAGCTACGTGCAATTATCTACATTAATTTAACCTTATGTTTGTCTCAATGTTATGTAGTTTATATATGTAAGTATACCATAACATATGTGCAAGCGATTTTCAGTTCGTTGGGTAAAGTTTTTTGATCCAATGGAATCGCTCCCTGGTAACGTTAATCTTTTGATTCCTTGGGTCGATATAGTTAATATGTTTTCGTATCCACTGAAAACCTGAGGTTTTCCAGCTGTAAGATCAATGATGTTTTACGTAAACGTATTGTGAACCGGTGTTATAGTTAGTCGGTACGTATTACGAGAACGTAGGCGTTTATGGGTAACAGGTTTTCTTAAGTTTAACTATATGGATATTGTAAGAACCGTCGTGTGCATGACAACCTTGTAGCAGCCACGAGCCTAATCACTATGGATGGATCCACCTTAGATGTGTTTATTATTAGATGCTAAGCCATACTGCTTACGCAGCAAACCGCTTTCAATTGCTTAACTGTTTAATAATTTCTCTATTGAGCCTTCATTGTCGTGTTACAAGCTATTAAATCAACTTGACGAGTCCGTACTATTTCTCGGTATCATAGACTTCTGTCATGATGAAAAAAGTTAATTGCATATTAGAGAAAAATTTAATCATTTTATCTCGCTGCTTAAAGGTCTATAGGATTTAAAGTCGTAATGACGACAGTGAATGTTGCTTAATGGTCCATTCTACAGGATATTGCATTTTACCTAAATTTCGACTAGCCCAGTAAGTCGATCTAGTCAAATTATGCCTGCGTACCACCTTAGACGCACGCCTTTACACGAGGCGATAAAATGCGTCTAAGTAACGCATTATTACTTCCAGGTCCCGAAAGACGTCAATTTGGACAATGTCTACTGCTAGCATTGAATAAACAGATACAAAGGAATAAATTTAGCAAAAAGCTTCTTGTGATACACATCTTTTTTCATGAATAGTCAGCTTCTACATTTTAGTGATATAGGAAAGTCAACTGACGAATTGTCTTGCTAGCCGAATGCAACGTGTGCATAATGCAGATATACAATTTAAGCGCGCTTTATAAGTAAAAACAAAAAAGTATGCTATATTCCTCCATTTGCAAAATAGCTGCACAATTTAATACGAACATAGATATATATGGGACGAATGTATCTCTCTTTCGCAACTGCCCAAAATCTTTCAATTAATAATAACGGTTAAATGTTTTCGGAATAAGGCAATGATTAACTTTCCTTATGCGACTACCGGGCTAACTCGTGAAAATGCTGAATGGCTATTTGGCAAACGAAATCAATGATTTACTAGAAATGTTTGAAAATTCATATGTGCCCATTACAACTCCTTCGGAGTTGAGTGCATTATGAATCAAAAGCAAAAGATTGTAACAAACTATATCATTACATATAGTGGCAGAACAATAACCACAGCGCATGTATAGCCAAACCGATGAATCCACAGATATATAGACAAAAATAACCTAATAAATTAACATTTAGCTCACATAAATTGCTTTGCTTACGAATAATAAATGCTCATTCTAAACGGCAATATACTCCTGTATACGAACACTGGTGTGTGAAAAGCAATGTTGTTAACTGGTAAGAAAATGATTCCTATTTATGTTTGACCATAATCAACTTAAACGTCGCCGTGAGACGTTTAAAAAGAATATTTTGATGGTTCAACAAAATTTGAAACATGTCATTCAAGCTAGGAACCTAGGAAGAAATCGCAAGTTAGAATTTATTATAAATCGCTGACATTCGTCTGTAAATGAAAATGAGAGTAATGCTGCCACCTGTTTTAAAGACAAATTTTCGATAAAATAGGACATTTTGCTCTCACGTTATCGTTCTTAGCATAACAGTTCGATGGTGCCTCTAAAATCCATATGTGGAAGCATGTCAGCATTTACTTCGCGTCTGGAATTAGAACAAATATAGAGGGCGTATAACACCACCTACCATGTTCTATCTCGTTAAACAGTTTTCGCCAGATGTCTTATAGCCAGGCCAGCCAAAAATAGTAATTCACCCCAATTCCATTATATGACAGAAAAAACGAAACGGGGACAATAAAGTCGCAACAATTAAACTCGCTTCAAATTGATTGTCAATAAAAGTTGACGTTCCTGCAATACCTCCCTACAAGTGTAGAGAACGAACGTAGTTTCAAAGCTTATTCACAACCTTTTGAAGGAACTAAGTGCATGGAATAATTGGTTTTGTCATTTAGAACAAAGCAAAAGATATTATGCGAGCCTTTAAATAAGGTAAATGCGTAAATGAAGAGTAGTATTGCGATTAGAGAGTTAATGAGAATGTTCGGATACCTACACGGGCTATCTTCTATTATCTTGAAGAAATAATACACCTGCTATCGTAATTGAATTAATGGAAACAATTGCAAAAATGGTACGAATTACCAAATGTTTTCTGGTCCATTTCAAAAATATATGCCAGCATTATATAAAGTCGACTTCTTTCATTCGTCGTAAAGTCAATGCACTCCCGGTAACGTCCAAACCATATGTTGAACTCCTGCGCACTTTTCTGCTATGAAAGCATTATTCAGCAATTTAAGTTGGAAGTT